TTGGCCTCATATATGTCTTCTTTTGCAAAGTGTCTGTTCATATCCTTCGCCCACTTTTCAATGGGTTTGTTTGTTTTTTTCTTGTAAATCTATTTTAGTTCTTTGTAGATTTTGGAGATAAGTACTTTGTCAGATGGGTAGATTGCAAAAATTTTTTCCCATTCTGTTGGCTGCTGGTTCACTCTAACGATTGTTTCTTTTGCTGTGCAGAAGCTGTGGAGTTTAATTAGATCCCATTTGTCTATTTTGGCTTTTGTTGCCAATGCTTTTGGCGTTTTAGTCATGAAGTCTTTGCCTATGCCTATTTACTGAATGGATTCGCCTAGGTTTTCTTCTAAGGTTTTTATGGTGTTAGGTCTTATGTTTAAGTCTTTAATCCATCTGGAGTTAATTTTAGTGTAAGGTGTCAGGAAGGGGTTCAGTTTCTGCTTTCTGCACATGGCTAGCCAGTTTTTCCAACATCATTTATTAAATAGGGAATCCTTTCCCCATTGCAAAAAGCCAAATCTTAAAGTGAAATTTGCATGACAATCTCATCTTTCGAGTGACAAAAAAAAAAACTGCATGAAGGGTACCTACCTCGCAAGAGTAGTATAAGGATTAAATGAAATAGTGTATGCTTGCCTCAGCTTAGTGGTCTGTACATTGTTAAGTGTGCAATAAATCATAGTTGATGCTGAATGTGAAATACTCCCGAGTTTCTCTAAAAATATTAAATAATTTTAGGATCTTCAGAAAATAGCAATGGCCATTATTAATCTAATCGCCTATGTGTCCTCTCTGATCACATCACTCTTTCTCTACCAAAAGGCAACAACTATCCCAAATTGTATTATGGCTTTTAACATAATGTTATTTATATTTTTACCATACACACACGTATGTATATGTATATGTAAACTTATATGTAGTACATAAACTAAATATATCATATTTTATATAAAATTTGCATTACCTAAAATGTAAAATGTATAGATCAGAGTCAAATTTTAATTCTTAATATTTTAAATAACTATTTAATAAAATTATTACTATTTCAAATATATATTAAATTTTATATATTATATGCATATATTAATATGCATATGACATGTAATCTTGGAAATATTTTTAATTTATTATAATTTTACATTTACACATGATGTACATAGACTTATAAATCTGATGTTGTACAGTCCAGTCGATTCTCATTATTCATTGAAGTCGTGTTCTATCAAGTCACCATGAACACTAAATCAGCAAATGCTGAACTGCTGCACATAGTAGAAAACAAGGTTATATTTCTGTGAGACTCTGATCACATTTTCATCAACCAATCAATATAAAACTTGTCTTATGTGTGTTTCTGTTTAAAGACACCTTATTTAATACATATTCCTGATTCACTGACGATGAACTTACAGCAAATAGTGCTGTAACTCATGTCTGGATGAAGCTTATCTAACACAATTGTTTTTTCTATCAGACACTTCACAGTTTTCTTGTACTAAGGAATGCTAGACAGCGCTTCAGCATTATTCTTAGGGAATATTTTAAACAGCAAGATCATCAACAAAAAGCACAAAATGTGAAAAACATGGTGTTAGACTGCAGAAAGAATACTGGTTTATATTATGAGAACTAAAGAAGTCAGAGTCTTGCCTTGTTTGACCTCAGCTGGGAATATAAGTGTTGCATGACAAATTTTTTTGCTATTTTGTGCATATCAGAAAATGATTGTGAAAGTGCTGTGAATCACAAATTTCTGTGGATATGCAAATTCTCAAATATGGAATCACTCATAAGGATTGAACATACTTCATTTCTGAATATACATGTGTATGTATCTATATTTAGATGTAACCCATACGTAAGTATGTATAGAGATTTGGACTGTCTGCAGTTAGATGTCATTAGCTCCTGTGAACATTCCTGTACTTTCCTCTCTTGGGGCATTTGTGCAAATCATTCTCTAGAGACACTGGATAGGAACTACAGAAGATTTATTGTAGAAACTTACACTGATACCAGCAGTGCATAAGAGTTCTTGCCACATATCCTGACCGATGCATAATTTTAAATTTTTTTCTAATGCAGTAGACATGAAAATTTTCATTGTGGTTTTAATTTACATTCTGTGAGTATTAATAATTTTGAGTATCTTTTCATGTAGTTAGAGCCATTCTGTAAATACCAATTCTTGTATTTTACTAATTATGTTTACACCAAAGGAAAAAAGCTTCCAACTTGTCCTTCTAAAATCTGGAAGTTAATGCATTATATTTCTACTTCAGTAATTACTCTACAAATGTAAAATAAATTTTCACTTAAAGATTAAAAACAGCAACTAAAAGATTAAAAACAGCAACTATCATTTGCCAATTGTATAGTAATTGGCAATTTAAAATGTAAAAAAATACATAAAGAAAAATATGTAAATCACCCACAATCCTAACACTAGAGTATACTGTTGCAGACATATTGGTGAATACTCTGCTATAGTTTCAGTTATATACATGTTTCAGTTATACACATTTTGTCCAATTGAAAATGACAATTTTAAGTTATATCAAAATTACATGTATAAATATGTACTAAAAGAAAAAAATTTAATGAGTTCCAACTCATTAAATATTGCTAAATATTTTCACAATTGAATTATGGTTCTTCTGAATCACTTTTTGAATCACAGTGTGCAGTAGCTGTGTTTTCCTACACAGTATCCTCTTCTGGCCTATAAGGAGCATCCACAGTTTGGCATTTCTACAAAGTACTCCATTACCATTTCTAGGAATTTCTTTCAAGCTGCTTACACCACTTTAAATTTTGACACTGATGTTCTTCATCTTACCAGAAAATATCAACAGAAGATATTCAGTGAACAACAAAACTTATATTCCTTCCTCTAATGGTCCACAAATGGTTTATTGACGGAAATATCAAAATATTGAAACTGTTCAATAATGATCAGAAACAATCATTAAAATGTGCATAGGCATAAGCCGTGACTCTGCCATTCCTGCCACCTTAGCAACAATGATCATAAGATGCCATCCAGTGTAAAATGTCCTGATTTCAAAGACATTAAAATGTGAAATCATGTGCTTCTTAGAATTGATAAAACAACAAAGCCAGTAAATATTTACCTGTATATACGTATATTCAATGTGTGTATATTTTTATGTATATACATTTAATAAAAATAAATGTACTATATATAAGTACACTTCTAAGATTTGAATTTCTCATTTATTTGGATTTCTTTAAAAAGTCATAAATAGTTGCGTGATCAGTTTAAACACTATTTCACTGGTTAATACTCTCTAAATTATTTCAAAAAAAATTCAGGAACGTATAGATTCTTATCTTGTCTCAATATTATGACCTACTGTAATAAGTCCTTTTCTTATAGTTCTGATTTCTATTTGAAACATAGGAAAACAGTATTTTGCTCCAAATTCCTCATTCTCCCAATGAATAATTTGGAAACATCTACAATATTGTTGCCTTCAAATAATATTTCTAATAATTTATCCAATATCTTTCTTTCCCATCAGATTCTAAGATAACAAGTCAATTATTGTATCCCAAGTTCTCAGTATAGCTATTGACATATAATAGGGTAAATAAAAGATAAACTGATTAATAAATAGCTATGAATATTTGAGCTTGGAAAGAAAAAAAAAACATTTCACCCATTAGGCCAACTGCTGTCATTTTATCTCTGTAAGTATGAAGTTTCACATTTTGTTTTGTAATGAAGTTAAAGAGGAACAAATCAAAATAAAATGTTAGGGCCAGAGATATTTGTTTGAGGCAGACTTTTTTTTTAACCAGTCCTTTCTAGACCAGGGCAGTAATACAATGGCAAACGCTGGTAGCAATTATGATATATGTGCCTGAAAAGAGATTAGCATTACATGACATCTGAAATGAAATGTAAAGGAAAGCAGTATTTGCTAAATGCATCTTGACTATGGTATATACAAGTAAATGATGAGGCCATGATTCAAATTCAAAACAGGACAAAAAAACAAAAAAGAAAACAGAAGCATCAGAAAAACGGAAAGACATGAAAATGTATAGTAATGGCGTACACTCCCAGCCCTTTCCTTTGACTCCTCCAATTTTTCTATCTCAGACACACACACGTGGACCTACATACCTGTGCACATGCACCCACACAACTACATATTCACCATCTCTAAGTGTCAATCATCGCCATAGACATATTTTAATGCACAAATGTAAATGTTCTTTCTTTAAAATTTTTAAATGACAATAGTTGACCTGCACATTAGCCTTCCAAAGATAATCAACCGTTTCACATTTCTCTAGATTCTGACCTGAAGGAAGATCACCAAGGAATTCTGATTTATATTCCCTATTAAATTCATGTTTTTCTAATGTACTGCATGTTCGTTCTCTGAACTGTCAACTTTAAATTGTTCCTGCTTTGTTATAGAAGTCAAGTTATTTTCTCAGGTGCTACACAAATCATTCCTTTCAAAAGTTTCCTTGTCTTTAAATAAAAAACATATGATTAAGCATTTTTCTCCACAATCTTTTCTGTTTTTGTATTACTTTTTTTCTGCAGTTAGGCATTTTATTTCTCATGATACTTTACTCTCTGCTTTCCGCATATGTCTTTGATTTTAATAATAATTGCATACTTCAGGTGTAAGGCACCACTCATACACTTCTGTATTTTCTTATCTACTACTTATTTTGTTTTTCTTCATATAAAATGATATCTTATGACCTCTTAACTGATCCATTAGAAAACAGACCCAGATCCAATCAATTCCAAAATTTCCAATTCCAACATTGTCACCTCTTCCTTGTTAGTGACTCTTGAATTGACCAGTAGTCAAGATCCAAGTCACACACACTCACTGGCTTCATGACTTTTTTCCTGTGTACAATTCTGTAATATTTTAATGCAATTTGTATCTGTTGTGCATTGTTTCTTTTATTTGTAATTATAGCCAAGAAAAACAGAGTTAAAAGCATAGATTTACCTGTTGATAGATGTCCACTTGAACAGATTTCTTTGGATTATATGTGAAATCTTTAAGCCTGGTCACTATACCTTGAAGCGTGATATTTGAAGGCAATACAAAGGAATGGAGGTAGAGTAGATTTTGGATTATCTAAAGAAATAGAAAAACAAATTGTTACATGCATATTTGAATTCAACATGCCTAATCAGAGCCACTGCCTTTAAATCACCCCAATAATTTTGAAAATCTTTTAATAATTAGCAAAACTGAATATATCTTTTTCAATCCAATAATAGAACTTCTAAGATATGGCTAAAATGACCAAACACATGAGAAAAAAATAAAATAGTATAAGATTTTAAATATCAGGTTTTTTTTTTTTTAAAGTAGATTATAAGCCTATATTTAAAAGGAAGAAAATTTATTGGCATTTACTGTCTTTCACTTAAATAATTACCTATATTCATTTAAATAACTTTCTCCAAAATTCAATTAAATAAATTAAATATCCATTGACAATGAAAATAAAAACAAAAATTAAAATATAATTATTAGAAATACTATCAGTATGATAATAAGACAGACTGGGATTTAAGAAAGAAACACAAATTATTTTAGACATCTTCTGATTTAGAATTCAAACTCCCTAATCAGATTGGGGTGATAGAAAAATATGCCAAATCTCTAATGCATCAAATATCCTTGTTTCAATTTAAATACGGTGCTAAATATATAGAATTTAGTACCTAAGAGTTTGTTTTATTTGGACCAAGGCTTTCTTTGCCTAGCTCAAAACTTAAAAAATGTCAATATTTTCAATTAAATAACCAATGTCTGCCTTATATCCAGGGCCACCTACTCTAAAGTGCCAAACAAAGGCAACCCAGTCACCAGGTCAAATGAGGTTTGTATGAGAGGACGAGGAAAGTGTGGTCTACATGCCAAGTCCACGAGAAATGGTAGGTAGGGACTAGAAAGAAGATGCGTAAGGAAGCTTAAAAGGCATAGATAAACTCTGAGAACTTCATAAGGATGGAACTGAAGGTATAACTTGTGCTAGGAATGAAGAGTTCACACTAAATGGTTCTCCTGGGCCTGGGATAAGAGCAGTGAGAAGAGGCTCACACATCAGCTCTGGTCCTACCAAGAGCCTTCTGAGCCGTCTGTGGCTTTTTAAAACTGGGTAATTCAAGAATAGCAGCTCCATCCCACCCCAAGTAACCAGCTCATCCAAAGGTAGAAAACTTTTATATATTGAGAAAATGTATTTTCCATCTATTTCCTCTGGCACGGAGAACTTCCCAGGCTTCAAGGCAAAGCCTCAGAAGACAGACTGAGGCATACCTAAAAATTAGCTTCTGATATTCCAGGCTATGTGCTTAATTATACTCATAATTTATACAGGCTCCATGTGGCAGCCCTCCAAGAAAATAAAAATAGTTAATATAATTTACACAGGCCAGCACAGGGACCAGACAAAAGAGATCTTGACAAGTCAAAATTCTATAGACTCACCAACATTTCTGTAAAATTTCACGGCACCTTAAATAATTGGCCCATTTTCTCCCAGAAAGACTAACTCACATCCAGAGTTTCTTTAAACAAATGGATAAATAATCCAGGAAAACTCTGCTTGATAGTTATACCTATAGTAGTCTATGTTACATCCTTTTCTTTACATATATTAAACTATCATCATATATTTCATATGTGTTTATGCAGATACACTCATACAACATATTTACTAATCACACTCATACAACATATTTACTAATCTTTAGTTTTAAAAATAAAAGTTAGTGTTTTTTAGTGTAAACATTATTTAAAGATGAGAAAACACAGAAGCAGAGAATAGTATAGTTGTTTCCAGGGACTAGAAGAGGAAAATGAGGAGGAATTAGTAAAAAAAACAAAGATAAAATTATGCAAGATGAATAGATCTTAGAGACACACTGTACAGCATACTACCTGTAGTTAACAATATTGTACACTTAAACCATGTGGTATAAGGGTAGATCTTATGTTGTGTTCTTTTCAAAAAATAATAATAATAAATAAAGAAGGCAGGAACAAACTTTTGGGAATGGATATATTTAAGGCATAGATCCTAGTAATGGTTTCACAGGTATATGCTTATCTCCAAACTAACCAGGTTGTATACATTATGTACAGCTTTTTAATGTAAATCATAACCCATTAAAGTGGTTTAAAAGGTTTTTTTTAAAGGTAGTGTTTTAGAGTTTATGTGTCTGACTACAAAGCCTGTAGAAAACCAGTAATCCTTAAGCCAATGACGTTTTCCTTCAATTTGGAAAAACTACTATTTAGAGGACTGCTTCCTGAAGTCCAAGTAGGCATAAAGCTTACTCCCTCTGTAAAAGTAGCTTTAATTATTATAGCCAGAAGTTGGGCTTTGCTATATGCTAATTTTATTCCTTAGTAATTACATATATGCCATATGTTTTATGATGGGCTTTACTTATATAACGCGGTGCATTTTTTAAAAAAACAATGTTTTAGGGCTTTTCTTTTTTTCTAAAAATTCAAATAATTTCTTTTCATAATTCCCTGAACTCCAAGGAGCTGGTATTTTGAATCATGTTTTATAGATGAGGGCATAAAGGATCAGAATTGCAAAGTGAATTTTCTAAGCATAATGTTTTGTAGGTGACCAAATTGCTACCAAAACTACTATTTTTCTATTAGAGACTTTGTTGCTGATTCCACTTTAACGTAACAACGTGAAAGCTAACTCTTTCCATGTAAAAGTATACTCCTTCAGTTTTATTTAGTTCTTGCACATGTCCATTCTGATGGTCTTGTCCATCAGAATTCATATTCTTATCTTTGGAATTCAAAAACTACAACTATCCTTCAAAGTCTTTTGAAATTCATCATCTTTCCAGCTTATTTACATCTGTGCTTTCATAATATTTTTGAGTGTACAGGCTCCAACATAATATTACTGTTAACAAGAGCGATTTGCAAGTGTTATTCAACAATTTATGTGGTGGGATGGACTGAAGCCCAATAACTTTCCCTTTTCATCTAGAATCAATGTGAGTTGATTAGACGATGGAGAAAAATATGTAAGACATAGGAGTAATGAAATTATTAGAAATTATTAGTGATGATCCATGGCTAGAGTATAGTGTTATACTCAAGGCTCTTTCAGTCCCATAGAATATTAGAATGTTCCTTTATTTTGTGAATAATCTTTCTTCAACTTCCCAAACCTAAACCAACATGCCTCAATTCTATGAAGTCTTACCAATATGCCATGCCATCCAGAAGTTTATATTTAAAAATACAGTTCAGAAATAATGTACACAGCAAACTAATTCCCAAATTAATCAATAGTTCTTAGAAGACTATCGATTTCACTATAAATTCCTTGAGACGCCCTATAGTTAAAGCATGAGTTTTTTTCTACATCCTACTTATAAAGTGGCCTATGTTTTCGCCTAAATGAATTAATATGTTCTCAAAGAACAATTGTCTGCTTTAATCACTATTTCCTTTTTTTCTGCAAAAGGATACAGCAACATCAAATTAATGTACAGTGTTTAAGTTTAGGTGACAATTCACCCAATTTTACAACAGAAATTACATTGAACCAAATCTTTTCTTTTCCAACATGTAATTAAATTAAAATTGGGCTCTAATCCTGAGAGGCTATTTTATTCTTCAAAGTGGACCATCTCTTAAATCCTATTGCCTAATTTACCTTGACACCTAGACAAGAAAGATATCAATAGTGCATACCCCACAAAATGTCAGTAACACAAAACCGACTTTTAGACTAAACTATTGCAGTAGTTAAATGACTCTGAGAATACTAATTGGCAATAAGGATCAAACTAACTGAAGATGCTTTATAATGAGCAAGTTAGAAAAAAATAACATAAACCAGTATGTAATTATCTAAGAATAATTGGAAGTGGACCTCCCATACCAAACAATTCCCCTGATTTCTAATACAGGTTGAGCATCCTCAAGTCAAAAAATCAAAAAATTATGCTTCAAAATCCAAAACTTTTTTAGTTCCTATTTGGCATCACAAGTGAAAAATTCCACACCTGACCTGGTCTCAAGCATTTTGGATGAGATGTACTCAGACTGCAGAACTGTGTGAAAAAAGCAGTTATAGTAAGTTGAATGCCAGCTACATCCATGGCTGGAGCCCCAGAACCTGTAATATTATCTTACATGACAAAAGATGTGTATAGATTAAGGATGTTGAGACAGAATCTTATCCTGGATTATCCAGGCAAGCCCCAAATGTAATCACATCTATCCTTATAACAAAAAGAGACAGGAGGAGTTCAGAGATAGACACACAGAAGGCAAGGCACAGAGGAGATGGGATGTGAAGATGAAGGCCGAGCAGAAAGTTATGTGAACACAAGTCAAGGAATGCCAACTGTACCTGGAAGCTAGAAGAGGCATGGAACAGAGTCTCCCATAGAGCCTTTTTAAGAAATGTAGGTCTTTACCTTGATGTCTAGAAATGTGAGAATACATTTCTATTGTGTTAAGACACCAAGTTTGTAGCAGTTTGTTATGACTGCCCCAGGAAAGTAGTATAGTAGTATCAGTGACTCGTTTATAAAAGGCATTAACCATCAAAAAGTGGGCGAAGGATATGAACAGACACGTCTCAAAAGAAAACATTTATGCAACCAACAAACACATGAAAAAAAGCTTATCATACTCATCATTAGAGAAATGCAAATCAAAACCACATTGAGATACTATCTCATGACATTTGGAATGGTGATCATTAAAAAATCAGGAGACAGCAGATGCTGGAGAGGATATGGAGAAATAGAAACACTTTTACATTGTTGGTGGGAGTGTAAATTAATACAACCATGGTGGAAGATGGTGTGGGAATTCCTCAAGGAACTAGAAATACCATTCGACCCAGAAATCTCATTACTGGGTATATACCCAAAGAATTATAAAACATTCAGTTATAAAGACATATGCACACGTATGTTTATTTTGGCACTGTTTACAATAGCAAAGACTTGGAACCAACCCAAATGCCCATCAGTGATAGACTGGATAAAGAAAATGTGACACATATACACCATGGAATACTATGCAGCCAACAAAAAGTATGAGTTCATGTCCTATGCAGGGAC